AACGACTATAATAGACTATACCACATTATTTCTACTACCGACTCTTTGCCAAGCCTAAAATCATTAATTTTATCTTACTTAGCACAAAATTAGTATTAGTATTAGTCTCGTACGTATTTGTAATCTTAGTCTGTCCGCTTCTACATTGTGCTTTTAACTTCTCGCGATCTCGTTTTTACGCCTATTAGGCTCCGCGCGTAACAAGCACTGCTTGGTGTCGTAAGGGCCACTTGTTTGCGCTGATCAAAGTGCATCAACGTCCGAAAAAAAAAAAAAAAAAATTGTTTGGTCTGAATGGGTTACAATCTGACCTAAATGCTTTTCAAACATGGTGTTGTGAAAATCTTTTGGATTTAAATAGCGCTAAATGCAAAGTATACGCTGGGTGGTTGCGCGTTGTCTAGAATTACGCATGTTGATGACCTTGACGTCCTTCTTGACCCAAAACTTAAGTTTTGTGACCATATTACTTCAATGGTGAATAAAGCCAGGGGAGTACTTGGATTTATTAAAAGGTGGTCAAAGGAATTCGATGATCCTTATGTTACACAGACTCTGTTCATTTCACTAGTCCGTCCAATCCTGGAGTACTGTTCAGCAGTTTGGAGTCCTCAGAATGGTGTACATATAGACCGGATAGAGTCTGTATAAAAGAACTTTTTATTATTTGCTCTACGGGGCCTTAACTGGAATGAAAGCCTTATTTTACCATCCTACTCTAGTAGACTTCTCCTAATTAATCCTCCCTCCTTAGTAAACCGTAGAACGATGCTTGGCACCACTTTTATATATAAACTTATTCACGGAAAGGTGGAGAGTCCCGAGTTACTGGGTCGCATAAACTTATCCGTGCCTAATAGAATTACCAGGAACTATGTTCCTCTTACTTTTAATATTTGTAGATCTAACTATGATATGCATGAACCGTTTAGAGTACTGTGTAACGACTATAATAGACTATACCATGTTATTTCTACTACCGACTCTTTGCCAAGCCTAAAAGCATTAATTTTATCTTACTTAGCACATGTATAAGTCTCGTACGTATTTATAACTTAGTCTGTCTGCTTCTATATTGTCCTTTTTCACTTCTCGCGATCTTGTTTTTACGACCATTGGGTAATAGGGCTCCGCGCGTAACAAGCACTGATTGGTGTCGTAAGGGCCACTTGTTTGCGCTGATCATAGTACATCAACGTCACAATATAAAATTTGGAAAGCACAACTACAAAGCTGCGAGTGGTTTTTAATGGTTCAGCGTGGACCTCGCTGGGATATTTTTGAAGTATATTCTCGGAGTTTCCATTAGCAGCCAAGATCTTACGCACAAGCTTTTACGTGGATGATCTATTTTCAGGAGGAGACAGTATTGAAATGGTTGTTGATATTCGGCAACAAGTTTCGATTCGCAAATGGTGCTCCAACGAGCCTGCGGTGCTAGAAGGAGTAGATGTGTCGGAGAGACCTTAAAGTTCCACGACGGAACGGATGTTGCAAAGGCGTTGGGTTTTGCTTGGGATACTCCGTCGGATAATTTTGTCTTCAGCTTTTCAAGCGGGTGGACAAACCGGCCCGCAACCTAAGCGCAGCATTCTGTCGGCCATCGCTAGATTTTACGATCTCTTTGGATTAATAGCCCCGATCATCACCAAGCTCAAGATTTTTATGCAGGTCCTATGAAAGGATAGGTTGACTGGAATGAGTCCTTACCTAATCTTTACACTCGTCTTGGCTAGAGCACATGTCACAGATAGCAACAGTTGCTGGCTTGAAGTTTCCACGCTTTGTTTTACAACAGAACTCATCCTGCGAAATGCATGGATGTTGTGATGCAAGCATGGCCGCGTAAGGCGCTTGCATTTATGTTCGCTCAGAATATCAAGGTGTAGTTTCATCGAATCTTCTTTGCTCAAAGTCAAGAGTTGCGCCCTTGAAGACCCTCACCATTCCGAAGCTAGCGCTTTCTTCGGGTCTTTTATTGTCCAAGTTCATTTCCCAACTAGCTTATTTCCAGTGTGCACCTTTTATTGTTGGTCAGATTCTACAATCGTTTTGGCATGGATCCGTCAACCTCCGTCAGAACAGGATTTCACAGATACAAGAGAGAACTGAAGGAATAAGCTGGATGCAAGTACCGTCAGGACAAAATCCTGCAGATATCTTATCCCGTGGATGTACACCTCTTGAGCTATTGGGATCGAAGCTTTGGAGCGAAGGACCGGAGTTCTTAATTGCGGATTCTTCTACATGTCCTGATTGCGCACCTCCTGTCGAGGAGCTCCCTGAACGTCGACGCAGTGCATAGACACAGGAAATTGATATTTCGCATAGTTGCAAATTCGAAAATTCGATTGGGAGAATGAAAAGAGTTTTCGGGTACATATATCGGTTTCTTCAAACGCGCAGCAAGGATCGAGTAAGGTATAAAGGACCGCTTACCGTCGAGAAAATTAAAGGCGGTACTGATCTGCTCATTAAAGGGATTCAGCGTGTGCACTTCACCGAAGAGCACAAGGCCCTAGCTTCGAAGATGCAGCTGTCGGCAAAGAGCAGACATCCCTCTTTGAACTCATTTCTGGATGAAGGAGGTCTTATGCTCTGCTGGATCTCGATGCCAAGCACCCAATGATTCTCCCAAAGTTTCATCGCGTAACCTTACCCAATATTAATCATTTCCTTTGCAAGTTCCTTCATGCAGGAGCGCAGAGCTTGTTAGCCGCTCTATGGCAGAGACTCTGGCCTATTGGAGAGCGAAAAACGGTCTCTGCTGTCATCAGCAAGTGCATACAATGCTTAAGATTTAAGACCAAACTAGTAAAGCACATCATGACGCCGCTCCCAGAGGATCGTGATCAACCGAAGCGCCCATTTGTCATCGCTGGAGTTTACTTTTGTGGGCCCTTCTATTCAAAGTCGGAGGTCAGGAAATGCTGCAAAGCCATTTTCGTTTGTTTCGCTACTAAGGCACTTGGAAGTAGTCGAGGATCTTTCATCGATATATTTTATTGCAGCCCTAAAGGGATTTATAAATCTGAGGGGAAAGCCATCGGTTGGTCGGACAACGCGATCAATTTCCTGGGAGCCAAAAACGAGCTTATTGAGCTTCGTCAGCTGTTCCTCAGAGATCCTCAAAGAAGCAAGCTATGGAGTTCCCTTACTTCGATGAAACTAAAGTGCGGTCAAATCCGCAAAATACCATTTTGTCACCGTTGTTGGAAAGTCGGTTCTCACATTTCATGATCTGCGCACTCTAGTTTGTGAAATTTCCGCAATGTTAAACTCACGGCCACTCTGTCTTATTTCAGAAAACCCAGATGATATCGAAGTTCTGACGCCCGCTTACTTTCTCATTGGGTCTATATTAACCTCAATGGAAGAATCTGACGCCTCCCATATGAACTTCGATCGGCTGAGCCGGTAGCAGCGTATGTGCCAGATGCAGCAAACATTCTAGTGCAAATGGAGCACCGATTACCTCTCGTTGGCGCCGGAGCGGAGCAAATTGCGCTCTCCCGAGCACAACCTAAAGCCAGGAAGCATAGTACTCATCAAGGAGGACAACCTAACCCCTTGCGGTGGCGCCTCGGCAGGGTGGAGAGCACCGTCTCCGGAGAGGATGGCGTCGAACGGGATGCAGTAATCCGAACTGACTGTACGTCATGCAAGCGGGCAACGAGGATGTTAGCGGTCCTGCCTCTTGAAACCACTTCACTTGGAAGTATGGCTCTTCCAACGGGGTGATCATGTCGGAAGCAGTCACTTAATTCGAGTTAAATCACTGCTTTTTTTTTTTGGTCAGCATCACTAACAACAACAATGTAAACAAAAGCTTGCTGAATTATTTATGTGTATGTACAAATATGCTGATATAAGCGCATGTAGTCGCTGATCTCTCGCCTCCTAAGGCATTCGCTCGTTATCGCTTTCGAAACACAGTCGCAACGCTGCAGAAAAAAACGCATTTTTACATAAAATCGAATATTTTCGGCTTCTAACTTAACACCGTTCCGGCATCGCATGTTCGTTAAAAATTCGCTTTAATAATGTGTTTAACTGTCGTCGCACGCAGACGTGTATTTCTTGTGCTGCGGGAAAAAGTATTCAATAAAATCACAATAGTGCAGTGACCGTTTTAATAAATCTACTATAACGCGAAAAGACACTTTCGGCGATATGAGCCAATTGAGTTTCGCCCAAACGAAATCGTTAGCATCATCAAAAATCAGTTGAATCCGAAAAAATCCCCGGGCTGCGACCTCATAACTCCCAAAATGATCATTGAGCTCTGTCGGGACAAGCAGCAGCCGCCACCTAATTTATAGATAAAACTCAAACAAAGCTTTCGTATTACATACTAATTGCTTATGCTCTCGCCTTCGTTGGTCTCAAGCCGACTCTCTCTCTCTCGGGCGCTCGACTTCAGCGCTTATCGGCAGCATCGTCAGATAGAGAGCTTCATCTGCGCTAATTATCTAAAGCGGGATCACTCTCTCATGAACGTTCATTGCGCGCGCTCAATATATAGGCATATATTTTCTGTATCCTCCAATATTATCCGCAACAATAAAAATTCTTATTATAACGTTTAACTAATTATATCGGCGTTATTATTTCGAGTTTAAAGGATACATACATGCATACATGCATTCCGTTTTCGAGTGCATTCGCCGGCGCACAAACCGTTATACAAACATACAGCCGCTAATTCGGGTACGGTTCTTGTGTGCACAGTGGGACAGATTGCGTTCGCCGTGGTCAAATACGAAATATTATTATATAATATTATTAAACAATTTGTAATATTAAATTTGGCTTCAGCTTAGCGTCCCAGGTTGTATTCGTCGCGAGCAAATTAAAACTATTATTAAATAATAAAATAAATAATAAATAATACAAAAATATAATAAAATAATACGAAAATACAAATAAATAAAAATAATAATACTAATTTCGCTGCAGTTTAGCTTTGTTAAATTGGTCGTAATTTGAGACTAGTGGCGATGGATGCCAGCGCGGCAGACGCAGGTTCACCCACTCTACCTCGGAGTGCTATTTTGAAATGCAAGGCCAATGCTCTCCTCCAGGATTTGAAGAGGATACAAGGAGCCCTTCACCCAATTTCAAGCGTGGAGGACGCCATGCTCCACGTGCGTCATGGCCAGTTAGTCTCAGTGTACGATGACTTCAAGGCCATCCACGGGAATCTTGAAGAATTAGACATTTCGGAGATCGGCAGCGACTTGCGATGGACCGTGTCGGAGCTCGTCGCGACGATGCACGCTGAAATAGAGGACGAAACCTTGCGACGCTCTGCTCAAATGGCTGGCCACTCAACTCTCACCAACGGGATCTCCTCTATGCCAGACCCAGGGCTCAGTCGCAGCTTTCAAGCTCTGCCGCCTATTCCGCTCCCTACCTTCAGTGGAGGATACTCCGAGTGGTCTGAGTTCCAATCTATCTTCTCAACTATGGTAGGCGGAAATCCACATATAAGCAAGGTGGAAAAGCTGCAGAGGCTACGATCCTGTCTTCGCGACTCAGCGTTAGAAGCAGTTCGGTCCTTGGTAACTTCCGAGGAAAATTATGACGTTGCATTGGGTCTTTTGGAAAAGCGATTTAGTAACCGTCGTTTAATATTTCAGGCTCATGTGAACGAGATTCTAGGCCTCTGTGTCGTGGAAGGTGGCTCAGTGGCAGGTCTACGAGGATTCTCAGATAAGTTCAATGCCCATATGCGGGCCTTGAAGAATTTGGGAACGACGCAACAAATTGCCGGCTGCATCATCGTCCAGGTGCTTCTTCAAAGATTGGACCCAGCTACCCAGGCGAAGTGGGAGGAAGGCCAGACTGCCATCAATTCAGACCTTATTCCTACGTGGGACTCGATGGCGGAATTCCTGGAGCAACGATGCAGGACTCTCGAGGCTGTGGATGTGGCCATGGCCGCATACGCGCCAGGCACTCAGGTGGGAAGACGTAGAGTTGCTAATAACAGTAGATCCGCCTTCATTATTACTAATGCCCCCCGCTACCTGTATATTATGCGGTGGGAGGTCCCATGAGGTGCCTGCGTGTCCAAGGTTTCTGCTGTTGTCCCCTGAGAGCCGCCTGGCGAGGCTAGGCGACTTGGTCTTTGTCGAAAATGTCTCAGAACCGGCCATCACCTGCGAGACTGCGTCGCTAATAATTGCCACAGCTGTGGGAGACGGCATCACAGTTTGCTGCATTTTCTGGACTCGCAGTCTTCTAGCGGCCATCTGCCAGTTGCTTTACCCATTTCCTCCTCATCCGAGGGTTCTGAACCTCTAGCCTCATCGCCATCCACAGTCAATGCCTTAATTGCCCAAGGTCGTAGCGGCGATATAGCTTTGCTTGCAACAGCGAACATACTTGTTAGGAGCCGCGCTGGTATTTTTGTTCCTTGCCGAGCGCTTCTGGATTCTGGATCTCAAGTACACATGATTACGTCCCGATTGGCTAATCAGCTGCAGTTGCGTAAATGCAAATCATTCATGTCGGTGTCTGGAATTGGCGATACCGGCTATGCGACGGACGGATTCTCTGTTGATGTGCTCCTACGTTCTCACTGTTCAGAATACTCGTCTCTTATTAGTGCAGTCGTCGCTGGCAACATTACGGATCTCCAGCCTAGTTTCTGCTTAGATGTCTCCAATTGGAATATACCATGCAATCTTAATCTCGCTGATCCAGAATTCTTTCGACCACAGCGTATCGATTTGCTCATCGGAGCCAGCCTCTTTTATGAATTGCTGTGTGTTGGACAAGTTCAGCTCTCAGCTGGCCTACCGTTGCTGCAGAAAACCCGACTTGGATGGGTTGTGTGTGGAGGCGGTTCACCTGTCGAGAGAAGGTCACTCGTAGCCACAGCCTGCAAGGATGTCACGAAGAGCCCAAGCCTGCCGGATGAACGTTTAGATTGTCTGCTCCGCCAGTTCTGGGAAATAGAGGACTGCTCCGAACCAATAGTGAAGTGGACAAAGGAAGAGCTGGATTGCGAAGCGCATTTTGTGCAACACTCTACTCGGCTCAAGTCAGGCGCTTATGCTGTGAGGCTGCCGTTGAAATGCAGTTCTGATTTGCTGGGAGAATCGTATCCCCAAGCCGTGCGTCGATTTCTCTCTCTAGAAAGGAAGCTCAGTCGTCACCCTCAATTGAAGAATCAGTATGCTGCGTTTATAAAAGAGTATTTGGAGTTGGGCCATATGTCTGCAGTTCCTGCTAATGCGAGCCTCACTCCTCAGTACTTCCTACCTCACCACTGTGTTTTGAAAGAGGACAGTTCAACAACCAAGCTCAGGGTTGTTTTTGATGGATCTGCTGCTACCACTTCTGGGTATTCGTTGAATGACGTGTTGATGTCCGGCCCAGTTATACAGCCAAAGTTGCTTCACATCCTGTTAAGGTTCCGTTACCATCGGGTGGCCATTACAGGAGATATCTGCAAAATGTACCGATGTGTCAGAGTTTTCCCTGAGGACAGCCATTTGCAGTGTATCCTTTGGCGGGATTCCACCCAGGACGAGTTGCAGGTTTTTAAACTTGACACTGTAACTTATGGAACAAAACCAGCGTCATTTTTGTCAGTGCGAGCAATGCATCAATTGGCCGAGGATGAGCAGTCGATGTTTCCAAAGGGGGCCGAGATTCTGCGACGCGACTTTTACGTGGACGATCTAATTTCTGGAGGTGCTTCTGTGGCTGAAGCTGTCAACATCATGCAGCAAACATCAGGGATCCTTGCCAAGGGTCAATTTCGCTTGAGAAAGTGGTGCTCCAACGTAGCTGCGGTGTTGTCTGATGTGCCGGAAGAGGATCGGGAGTCGTTTCTGAGATTTGATGACGGCAGCAACTTTACGAAAACTCTGGGCCTCGCTTGGGATCCTGCTACTGATCGCTTGCTATTTTCATTTGAGGGCCTTCAGTCAACCTTAAATCCAACTAGGCGCATCGTCCTTTCCTCAATCGCCCGGTTGTATGATCCTTTAGGACTTGTCGGGCCGGTCATCACAAGGTCAAAGATCTTTCTTCAGAAGCTGTGCCGTGAGAAGTTGTCTTGGGATGAGAGTCTTCCTCAGGCTCTTCACTCTGATTGGGAAAAAATTTGCTGCAGCTTCGCTATGGCTCAGAGGGCCGATTTTCCCAGATGGTCACTATCATCACCGACCGATTTGGAGATTCATGGATTTTGTGACGCTAGCATCGAGGCTTATGGTGCCTGTATTTATGTCGTCTCAAGGGGTACAGGAGCGGGAAGTCACCTGCTTTGCTCGAAGTCTCGAGTGGCGCCGCTAAAGACTGTTACGGTGCCGAAACTGGAACTATCAGGAGCAGAATTGCTGGCGCGGCTTATGTCAGAAGTAGCTAATCTGAAGATGTACGCTGGGAAGCATTATTGTTGGTGCGATTCTGCAGTGGCGCTGTCCTGGATTCGAGAGGAGCCTGCCCGGTTTAATGTTTTCGTTGCCAATCGAGTTGCGACGATCCAGGAGTTAACCAGAACGATGGAGTGGCGCTATGTTCCCACGTCCTTGAATCCGGCGGACATCCTGTCCCGTGGTGCTCTTCCTAATGAGTTGATCGTTGATGAGCTGTGGGCACATGGTCCTCCGTTTCTTCTTGGTCCTCAAGATGAGTGGCCAGTTGCGGTCCCAGCTGAGAGGCCGACCCTGGAACTGCGCGCAAAGGTTTTGCTCATTCAGTCGCCGTATGTGGACATAATAGCTGCCTCCAAGTACGCTAATTCCTTCTCATCTCTGCAGCGGGTATTTGCTTATGTGCACAAGTTTTGTCATCGAATACGCCACAAGGGAATCACCGCAGGAGATATCAAGTCTGGAACTCAACTTTTATTGCGGTTGGTACAGCGGGTGCATTTTTGGGATGATATAAGGTCGCTTCAGAATGGCAAAGAGATATCGTCGTCCAGCGTACTTGCCACATCTTCACCCTTCTTGGATAAGTTCGGTCTACTGCGTGTAGATGGTCGCCTGAAGAATTCGCCGTTGGATTTTGATAGTCGTCATCCAATTATACTCCCTAGAAGCCACCCAGTCACTCTTGCTATAATTGTTGATTTCCATGAGCGAAATTTACACACGGGACCTCGTGCTCTTTTGGCTATGATTCGATCCCAATATTGGCCAATTGGGGGGAGGAAAACGGTGACGAAGGCGTTGCACAAATGCATCCGATGCTTCCGGTCCAAGCCTCGCCTGCTGGAGCACATTATGGCTGATCTCCCGGAACAAAGAGTCAACGGTTGCCAAGTCTTTGGAGTCACTGGCGTGGATTTTTGTGGGCCATTCCATTACAAGCCAGAAGTTCGTAATAAGGCTCCGGTAAAATGCTACGTGAGCGTCTTCATTTGTTTTGCTACAAAGGCCGTCCACTTGGAGCTCGTAAAGGATCTATCCACTACTGCGTTCTTACAGGCACTAAAACGGTTTATATGCACCCGCCGAAAGCCACAACACATTTGGTCGGACAACGCTACAAATTTTGTTGGAGCCAGAAACGAGCTAAGTGAGCTGCGGCGGCTCTTTATCAGCGACGAGCATCAGCGGACACTTCTGGAGTTTTGTGCGATTGAGTCCATCGAATGGCATTTTATTCCTCCTCGATCTCCGCATTTCGGCGGACTCTGGGAAGCGGCAGTCAAAACTGCCAAGCATCATTTTTACCGGGCTGTGGGGTCCTCAATTCTTGGATTTGAGGAGCTGCGAACTCTGCTTTGCCACATTGGTGCTGTCATAAATTCACGACCATTATTGCCTCTTTCAGAAGATCCTGCAGACCTCGATGTTCTAACGCCAGCACATTTTTTAACTGGAGGTCCGCCATCTAGTTTAATCGAACCTGATGTTACAAAGCTAAACTTCAATCGTCTGGACAGTTGGCAACGTGTGTCCTTTCTGCAGCAGTCTTTCTGGTCCCGATGGAAAGAGGAATACTTAAGCCTCCTTCAGCAACGCTCCAAATGGCGTACCTCCGGCCCTGCTTTGGCAGTCAACGATGTGGTGCTGGTCAAGGACGAGAACCTACCCCCGATGAAGTGGCCGCTCGCGAGAATCATGGAACTGGTATCTGGTAGGGACGGAGTGGCTCGAGTGGCGGTGATCAGAACTTCATCTGGAACCACCAAGCGCGCAGTATCTAAGCTGTGCCTTTTGCCCCTTAAGGACGAAGTTGGAAGCCAGGCCCAACTGGGGGGAGAATGTCGGGACAAGCAGCAGCCGCCACCTAATTTATAGATAAAACTCAAACAAAGCTTTCGTATTACATACTAATTGCTTATGTTCTCGCCTTCGTTGGTCGCAAGCCGACTCTCTCTCTCTCTCTCTCGGCCGCTCGACTTCAGCGCTTATCGGCAGCATCGTCAGATAGAGAGCTTCATCTGCGCTAATTATCTAAAGCGGGATCACTCTCTCATGTACGTTCATTGCGCGCGCTCAATATATTGGCATATATTTTCTGTATCCTCCAATATTATCCGCAACAATAAAAATTCTTATTATAACGTTTAACTAATTATATCGGCGTTATTATTTCGAGTTTAAAGGATAGTCGTTGAAAAATCTCAATGACTGAAAAGCTTATATTCCTACTAAAAAAACAAAAAAAAAAAAAAAAAAAAAAAAAAAAAAAAAAAAAAAAAAAAAAAAAAAAAAAAAAAAAAAAAAAAAAAAAAAAAAAAAAAAAAAAAAAAAAACTGATGTACAAGATCAAAACAATGCTCCCCTACAACACCCATATGCTTTTAGAGTCTTACCTGTTGGTACACAGCGGACATCCCAACAAGCACACGACTAACAACATCTACGTTTGCTGATGATACAGCCATTCTCAGCCGTTCAAAATGCCCGATGCAAGCAACTGCGCAGCTAGCTCTTCATCTGGTCGATGTTGAAAAGTGGCTATCAGATTGGCGAATTAAAGTGAACGAACAAAAATGCAAGCACGTTATGTTCACCCTGAACAGACAAAAACTCCCCGTCGCTCATGTTAAACCATACTCTACTCCCGCAAGCAAACGAAGTGACATATCTAGGAGTACACCTCGACAGAAGACTCACATGGCGCCGGCACATTGAAGCCAAAAGAACGCACCTAAAGCTAAAAGCCATTAGCCTTCATTGGCTCATCAACGCTCAGTCTCCCCTTAGTCTGGAATATAAAGTCCTGCTGTATAACTCGGTACTAAAACCTATATGGATGTACGGCTCTCAGTTATGGGGGAATGCCAGCAATAGCAATATTGACATAGTCCAGCGAGCTCAGTCGAAGATCTTGAGAAGAATCACCGGGAACCGTGGTACGTTCGCAACGAAAATATACATCGCGACTTAAACATTTCACCAGTCAAAGAAGTGATCGCAGAACAGAAGGAAAAGTACTTTACCAAGCTTTCGTTGCACCCTAACCAGCTGGCGAGAGGTCTTACAAGGTTGATCAACCAATCACGCCTTCGTCGCAATGACTTACCCACCCAGCGACCGACTTGAGGGACGCGCAACCAGAATGCAGTCTTATTATACTGTTAGTTAAATTTTAATGTAAAGATTCGTAAACTTATTGTTAGTCTTAAAATTAAGAGAAGATTCAATAAATAAAAGCAAAGTTAAAAAAAAAAGTGTTATAAATTATTGACCCCTCGAAACAATGGCCTAATACTAATTTTATGCATTAGGCGATTGTTTTAATGCTCCCTAGCAGCACTCATAAACTCCTAAAGTCATACCTCTACAATAGGAAATTCGCGGTGAGATGCAATAGCACCATATCTGCTGACCATAACATCGAAGCTGCGTTTGCTGACGAACCTGCAATCCTTAGTCAATGAAAATGTCCACAAAAAGCGTCAATGCAACTAACAGATAACCTAGTTGTTGTTGAAAAATGGTTGGCCGACTGGCGAATAAAGGTTGTTAGAAATAATCACGTGGTATAGTGGATTATCCCAGGCAAAGAATAACGCAGCGGCTTTGTAGTTAATGGTTTAATCGTTATAAAAGAACTAAACTCGTAATTGTACGAGTATACACACTTAAGAACAAGAGTAGGCAGCGAGAGGGAAAACATATGTTTAAAGCTCGCTGCTCGGTATACATACTTTCTTGTTATATATAAGGATATGGTTACGGAACAGATTATGTTGTGCTTACTGTTAAATACAATTTCAACAAAGGTCAATGAGGAAAAGTGTAAGCACGTTACATTTACATTAAACAGACGAAATTGCCCTCCACTTACATTAAACAATATTGTGCTGCCTCAAGCAAACGAAGTAACGTACCTTGGCGTACACATTGACAGACGACTCACTTGGCGCAGACATATTGAAGCCAAGAGAATACACCTAAAGCTGAAGGCTGGTAGCCTGCACTGGCTTATAAACTCCCATTCTCCTCTTAGTCTGGACTACAAAATACTGCTCTACAACTCAGTCCTAAAACCAATCTGGACAGATGGCTCTCGGTTGTGGGGCAGCTTCAGTAACAGCAGCGTAGAAATTATGCGGAGAGCTGAGTCGAAGATCATCAGCCCCATTACCGGATCACCCATGTACGTTCGGGACGATAACATTCTGAGAGATATGAATATACTCAGAGATAAAATAGCGCAAACCATGGAAATATATTACAATGAACTGTAAACAGAGTGAGCAGCCGCTCTCGTATTCGTCGTAATGACCTTCTCATACAGCAATAAATATTAGGACCGTGCAAATTAAGTTCAGATAAACTGAAATAATAATACTATTTTTTAAGATTTGAATACTTTTTGTTAGTCTCGTCAAGAAAAAATTAAAAAATTTAAGTAAAGCCTAATAAAAAAAATTTTTCATGGTTCTCATCCTAAACTTTTATTTTAAATATAAGTTCCTGAATCTTCTGGCCTAGGTGTATTGGATAGGATTTAAACATTAGGAGGCAGTTTATTTTTCGAAACAAGTTGGTAACGATTGATTGAAGTTAATACAAGTTAAAATAGTTTATAGTACTGTATTTGTATGTTATATAAAAAAAGGGTTTAAAATCAAAAAAAAAATATTTAAAAATTAGATAGTTTTCTAATTTAAATATACCGAATACTTGTGTCGGCTAACATTTTTAATTTGCAAAAAAAAAACGAAAGAAAAGAATAAAGACAGGGTGACTTCTCCGAGAGCGAGAGAGAACTTTATTGTGCTCCCGCCTTAGCCCTAAACTAACTTAGTGTAAGTTAAATTTTTAAGATTATCAAGAACACTTCATAACTTGAGCCAACACCGGACCCGTTGAACACCCATCGGGCTTCAACAGACTGGAAGCGGCCCAACTTGTGAATGGCCCGCCGAAAAATGCCTCCTCCGCTAGTTCTGACGTCGACGACCCTGACCATGCCGACCTCCCCTTGCGTGCCTGGGACCTCTCCCGAGGAGCCATTGTTGGGGCGGCAGGTTGTCCTCGGCCACGATAACGAGGTCTTCCTCGAGGATGTTCGGCTGCTGCTGGTGCCCCGAATTTGCAGGCCCAGGACATGTTCCCGGGACCATCAGAATGTTTGCCTGACTGACGAGACAAGCCGCCAACGCCGCAACAACTGAGTCCCTCCTGGTCCGGGGTCCAGAGTGCTGGTGTGCGAGCAGCGGCCCGACTGTCGAAGTGCCCGGAAGTCAGCGCCTCCGTCGCTAGGGTCTGTGCTGATCGTTCCGAGCGTCCGGGAGTTTATCACTGCCTCGATTCCACGAGGAACCGCGGAGCCCCGGTGGTGTGAGCATGCCATCGTATGATATAGGAGCATGATAGCTAGTCGCCCACACCAAGTCGCCTTGACTTCATGGATGAATGGATTCAATCGCTGAAGACTTAGGCCAACTCTGGATCCTTTACGAACTTTTTCCCTTTCTTCATGATACTCGTGTTTCAGTAATATCTCGACAATTTTTAGAAAAGCTTCATTATATTCAGTCGGAGACAAAGTTTTTTCAAATACTATACTTTTGTCTTTGCATTTTCTTAAAATTCGTACAGCAGCAGTCAGCCCGACCGCAGTCTTCCTCGATTCTTGTAGTAGGACTTCTTCATCTAGGTCCAAGTGAGCATTTTGGGGCCAGTTTGCATCTTCCTCTTTCAAAAACGCAGGTCCAGTATACCATATTGACTGTATGATTTCGTCGACGTCACACCTCTTGATACAAAATCTGCTGCGTTCTGTTTCGTTGGAACATGTCACCTGACCACTCTTGAATCTCCGCAACTCTATTCGATACGAATGTGGACAATGAAGATGGATGAGACCGGATCCAATGAACAATTCGTTCGATAGGTATCATTAATAGGAGCTTGATTCTGTGGCAGAGATCTGCGAGAAGGTGAGCGTCACATAACTCAAGCCTTGGGAGTGTCTTAGTCTTGAGCGACGCTACATTAGACTTTGAAGTCAACAACATTATTTTAAAACCTTCTGCAGTTTTGCTACGAATGTATACGCAAGCTCCATAAGCTCTTATGGATGCGACGGCAAAGGCATGTAATTGGACCGGTGACATTTGATCGGTATGCACAAGCCGTGGAATAGATATTACCTCTAATTTAGACAATGTTATTTTTATCATATTCCAAGCTGTTTCCAAATGAATAGGAATCGACTCATCCCAATCTAACTTATTTAGCCAAAGTTCCTGCAATAGGATCTTTCCTCTAAATACAATAGGACTTGATAAGCCGAAGGGGTCAAACAGCTTCGATGTCACCGATAGTATATTCCGTTTTGTCGCTCGGAGACCCATGACAGCAGTGTCAATTTGGAAAGGCATCTTCGTTAGGCAACCACGATATTCCTAACGCCTTAGTTGACTCTGAGTCAGTGATGGGTATGGTTTTAACTGTGCTCTCAGATGCGGTAACGTCAGGTGAGTTTGAAAACCACTTTGTCAATTCAAAACCTGCAGTTTGAAGAACCTGAGATACCTCAGACTTAATAGTCTTTAACTCCTCTACGCATGCAGCACCAGTCAACATATCATCGACATAAAAGTCGGATCCCATAACCTTAGCAGCTCTAGGAAAAGAAACTTTGGCAGACTCATTTAGCCTTTTTAAACACCGAATAGCCAAAAACGGGGCTGGTCCAGTACCATATGTTACGGTGTTGAGCTTGTATAATCTCAAGGACTCAGAGCGGTCTCTTCTCCACACTATGAGTTGAAACTGCCTATCTGCTTCATTCACCATCACTTGACGATATATTTTCTTTACTTCGGCGGTCAGGGCAAACCTATGCAGCCGGAAGCGCAGTAACGTTGAGTACAACTCATCTTGGATTGTAGGCCTAACCATCAAAATGTCATTTAGAGACTTCTGAGTTGACGATTTACAAGACGCCTCGAAAAGGACAAGTAACTTGGTTGACGTACTTCGGGGTCTCAGAACACATTGATGTGGGATAACATAATGTGGAGCAGAAAGAAGTTTATCTATAAGAGACATATGACCTAAGAAAAGGTACTCCTCCATAAATTCTAGGTACATTTTCTTGATCTCAGGGTCTCGAGACAGCCTTCTTTCAAGCGACAAAAACCGCCGTTTTGCAACTTCAAAAGAGTTGCCTAACTCATTTGGATCCGATTTAAACGGCAGTCTTACTTCAAACCGACCTGATGGCAAAACCTGAGTAGTCTTCCGGTAGTGTTCTTCACATAACTTTTGCTCAGGTGACAGAATTTTCTTTAGAGATGGCATTTCTTCCAGTGACCAAAACTTCTGTAGTGTGCCGTCAATAGACACTAAAATCTCTTCACTACAACTGAAACTTTTCACAACTTCTGTAGGGGAAGATGCCTTATATCTACCCAATACAACCCAGCCGAAGAGGGTTTTCTGCAGAGTTGGAAAGTCAGGACCTTGTCTAATTTGTCCAACAGCTAATAATTCGAAAAATGATTCTGCTCCTATTAACATATCTATTCTTTGTGGCTTGTAGAAATAGGGGTCTGCTAGTGGTAGGTTCTTTGGAATTTTTCAGTCATTGATATTGACCGACTGGTCAGGATGATATCCTGATATTGATTTCAAAGTCCAAAAATCGAAAGAGAACTCACTACCATTTATACGCGACTTCACCATTGTGTGTACCTTTTTCTTAACTTGAGAATTGGACTCGCCAATACCAAGTAAGCTTATACACGACTCCTCTTTACGGATCTGTAAGCGGTGAGCAAGGTCCTCTGTTATAAAATTCGTTTGGGACCCAGAGTCAAGAAGTGCTCGGGTCTAAATATATTCACCGTTTTTAGTTGTTACACTTACGATCGACGTGGCTAAAATCACTCTGTCCAATGATGATGCATAACATGTGACGTAGAAGGCTAATCTTGATTTAAAGAGGGAGAAAGAATCTCTTGGGGTGGTGGCAACGCTAAACTACTTTCGGAAACTGTATATCCATGCAGTAAAACGTGACGGCCACAAACTCGACATTTATTAAATTTGCATTTAGAAACAGTTTGACCCTTTCGCAAGCAATTGATACATAAGGAGGCAGATTTTACAAAGTCGAACCTTTGCATTACCGAAAGACGACCAAACGGACCACAGTTCGTCAGGATATGGTCTTCTGCATTGCAATAGCTACAACTTTGCTGGGATGTACTGTTGGACGAAGAACAGGAAAATGAGCTACGATTATGCTGCTCGCTCGATATATAAATTTATCTCAGCGGATAAATGCTGATATCGGCGATTTAACTTTTTTCTTTTTGGTAATGCCGAATTCGGAAGTCGAACCCAATTATTTTGGCCTTGCTTGCCATCTTCAAGGCTGAGATAAGCGACATTATTTTTGCCTTGGTTATTAATGAAAGCTCTTCCAACTCTTCTCCGAACTCATCGCAATCATCTTAATCTTCGATCTGTAATTGTAATTGATTTGCCTTAATATTTGAATCATTTAAAATCCCTAGCCGACAATTTAATTCTACTTCTTGAATCGGAATCTGGCCGGTTTCAAGTCTATCATTTAGTCGGCGGATGCTCATCACTGGTTTTTTGAGCTTGTTTTTAAGGTCCGCAAGAAAATCAATAGATTTTGACTTATCTGGACTCATTTTTAATTAACGAAAATAAATAAATATATATATATAGTAATATGTCTACACCCACATATCTACCACATAAACATATTTATACTACGCATTTGTCACAGTAAACAAAGAACTCCAAATCATTTGCTCCCAAGAGTCGGCAAATGAAAGAACCCCAGATTGTCGGCTCCCACGAGTGACCATTTAATGTTAACATCCTCTTGCATTATAAACAAATGTCCCCAAACTCCAAAAAGCTTTTATCCCCCAATACTGTAAAATTTCAGACGCAGCTCAAACCTAGATCGCTCTCACGCTCAATGCCCTCAATTTGGACACTCTCAATTTATCAATCGCGTTCTTTCTCCCAATCGAAGGTTTGATAAGCGTCAGCGTAGTGTAACGACCTAATTCTTTATTTTCTGCTAGCTACGTAAACGTGCGGCTAGCTCAGAGAGGTTGTGAGTTCGTTCCACCAAATTTATATTGAGTGACTGCCCGTGACCAAAGGATAACGCCAGAAATTATAAGGTTGGTGCTGGTTTATTGATTCAATAGATTTTGCTGCCCGTGGTCGCTGTCTTCAGCTGCGTTGCTCCTGGCTCGCTGCTGCGCTGCTCCTGGTGTGCTGCTGCGTCGCTCCTGGCTTACCGTTGCGTCGCTCCTGGCCTGCTACTGCGTTGCTTCGGCTTGCTGCTCCGGGTGACTGAGATCGGGACGGCTCCACCAAAAACCCTGGATGTTATGCGAGCTTCCCTACCAGGGCCGGCAAGGTGTATCGCCTAGCAGGTGAACCAAAGTTTCGCCTTATAGCCTATCCACCTTTATCGCCTGGCTTCCGGACTTTGTCGGCAAGGTGTATCGCCTAGCAGGTAGAACAAAGTTCTCCCTTATCGCCGAGCCAGCTTTATCGCCTGACACCGCGCAAGGACTCCCTAAGTTTGATTTTACCACGACCTAGCATCGTTGTAGCCTCAGCCTTGTAGACTTGTCGTCGTTCGGCGTCTCGACTTTGCGATCTTGATCCTTGGGCACTTCGAATTCGATTTGTACTTATTCCGCGTCACGCACTCGCTCTGATTCTCGCACTCGTACTCTCCCGAGCTTGCGCCGTCCTTTTATAGGCGCTGTAGATGCCGTTATTTCCCTCGGGTCCAAGGTCCACTGAGATACCGTTAATTCACGGTGTGTCCTCTTGAGGCGGGTCCGAAATCCGCCAATTCACCGTATGACCTCGTTGCCCTTGCCATATGAGGGTCCAAGGTCCGAATGTTTCCCGTTTGACCTGGATGCGCTTCATTTCTCCGGCTTTCTCGCCTCCTCCGCTGTTGCTAGGCCGATCTCCTGCATCGTGATTTGTGGGGAGTTTAAGACTCCTCACATTTCCCCCTTCCTTCGGAAACGTAATGAAAGTGGTGACTTTCCCCGCCCTTGAAGTGTAGACTACTCGAATTCCCCGCCTGAATGTTCCCCAGACAGTTCCCCGAAAGACTTAACCTTTCCCTAGAGTGTTTTCCTAAAAGACTTTACTCGTACAGCTCCTTGAAAGACTTGAACTTTCCCGCGACTGTTTCCCTAAAAGACTTTTCCATACAGCTTCTTGAAAGATTATTTCCCCAGACTGTTTCCCTGTTCCCCAGACAGTTCCCCGTTCCCCAGACAGTTCCCAGTTCCCCAGACAGTTCCCAGTTCCCAGCCAGTTCCCAGTTCCCAGCCAGTTCCCAGTTAGCAGACAGTTCCCTGCGTGGAATTCGAATTTTCCCGCCCAGACATTTCCCCAAACTAAAAGTCACCATTTCACTTCCCTCGGTCCGGCAACTCCCTGGAATGTCACCACCATCGCGTTTATCGATTGTGGGCTCCAGTGTTGCCATCGTCGTTGTCTTTTTGTTGTCTAAAGTTGCCTTTTGAATATAGCAATAACCAATTGTGCAACCCATCGATCGCAACTATCGATCGACCGCCTGACTCGGCGCCCCCGTCCCTATTTTCTATGTCCGGCAACTCCCTTACTCCCAAAGCCGTGCAGCTGGCTCTCCCGGTGACGGCCACACCCAGGGCCCCTTCTCCAAGACCTCCGGCTCTCCGTTTTGCTGGCCGCGGTGATGGGGTTGGCACCCATTGCGGCGGTGGAGGCGGTGGCGTCTCTGGTCCGTGACGACGTGCCTGGGATGGCTGTGGCGGTGTTGCTGCCTGTGGCGGCGACGGTGGTGGCGGTGGCGGTGTTTCTGCCTGCGGGGGCGAAGGCGGTGGCGGTGGTGCTTCCTGCAGCGGCAATGGTGGTGGCGGTGCCTGCGGCGGCGGCTGCTCCAGAGGGCCCGGCTGTGCTTATATTGCCGCCTCTTCGGCCTTTGCCTCATCCAGCCGCTTCTGCCACTCTCTGGCTGCGGCGCACTCACCGTCTCCGTCCCGGTGTCCTCCTTGTCTTCTTCCTCCTCTGACGAGGACAGGTCGATGACCGGCACCTCGGTCTCCTGCCCTGCCGGCCGGACGCCGGCCTCATCTTCCGACTCCAGCTCCACGTCGGAGATCCTTCCTTCGTCCTCCGTCTCCGGGTTCGGTGACGGGACCGCGACACTAGGGGGGACGCCAGCAGCTGGAGTGCGGAACCTGAGTCCCGCCTCCATCTCGCCGCTGGCTGTTGCCCAGTGCTGCCTCCCCGCCCCTCTCCACTCACGGACTTACTGCTGCTGCTGCTCGTTGCTTGCATGTTGGCGACCTGATTTAAATAGGCCCGTCTTGTGGCGCTCGCGCGCTGAGGAAACCTCGGTTTCCGATGGTTCCTGGTTCCGTTGTCCGCGGCGGCCTTTGGACTCTCCCTTGCTACGGGTCTCCAACGGGTCCTCTCTTTGGTGTGCGTTACCCGGTAACGGTATCCGCATCCTATGACCCTCCCTCTCCCGCTCTCGCGCTCCTAACGCATCTGTGTGCGTTCGATACTGTGTATCGTCCTCTCCCTCTCTTTGGATTTACAGTGTGCCCCAGCTAAGTCCGACTTTGATCCTCGGTTCTGGCCACCAATGCATTGTGGTTTTAATTGGCTAATGTGGGCGGTTTTTTCTTTGCCAGTATTTTCATGCAGCAAATTGCATATCACCGGCGAACTAAAATTTATTATCTTTAACGGCCCATCGTACTTTGGTGCCAATTTTGCGGCGAATCCTTCTGCAGCCTTGGACAGATGGTGTTCCTTAGCCCAGACTGTGTCACCGATGTTCGGTTTCCATGGGCGTCTACGGAGATTGTAGTAGCGTACCTGATCCTGCTGCCTTTCCCATATTTCGCCTCACCAGCTCAAAGATTTCTTTCAGCTTCTGTGCGTTCTCGGCCGGAGTTTGAGTTTGCCTTCCTGTGCCGATTGTCCCTTCGTAGTACGGTGCGTTGGGTAACCTGGGCTCTCTTCCTTGCGAAATAAAAGCGGGCGAATATCCCGTGGATTCAGCAACGCTCGTATTCACGGCCAACTGCAATTTCGGCCACTTTTCGTCCAAAGACCTCTGGTCTGCTACGGTGAACTGGGCGATCATCGTTTTTACCGTCCTATTGGCTCTCTCCGTCGGGTTTTCTTGGGGCGTATATGGGGCCATGAACTGGTGTCGGACGCCTAATTTTTTAAACGCCCTGCTGGTGAATTGAACGCCATTGTCTGTGATCAGCACCTCTTGCGAGGACCCGCTCACGGATCGCCTTTTTCAGAGTTTCCGTCGTTGCCCTGCGCATTGGCACCATTTCTGTCCACTTGGAGAACCTATCTACCAGCACTAGTAGCATAGAATTCCCGTGTTTGGAGCGGGGCAGTGGTCCGACGAAATCTGCGCATACAGTGGCCCACGGCTCTTTCGGTACTTGGGTCAGCATTTTTCCGGCCGCCTGTAGTTGGCTTGGCTTATACCGTAGGCAGCTCTCGCAGTTTTGCACATATTTCCTTATGTCGCGGTGCCTTCCCGGCCAATGGTATCTTGCTGCGACTCTGGCAATTGTCTTCCGACTGCCCATGTGGCCAGCTGTCGGTGAGTTGTGGTTCCCCGACATTACCCGTCGCCTAGACCCCGTAGGCACGCGCAGCTTCCATGGTGTGACATCCTCGTTGCCCGCTCTGTGCGGTATGTGTCTATATAGCTGGTCGGCTTCCGTCATGTAGCCTGGATATTTTTGTGGATTTTGGGCCATCTTGCTCCGCATATCCCTTATCCAGTTACACTCGCCGGTTTCCTTATGCTGTTCATGTGTTTTTGCCCGTCGACACGTTTCTGGCAGTGCGTCTGCTACTATATTCAGCTGGCCCTTTTTGTACGCGATCTCAAAGTCATATTGTTGCAGTTCCAGCGCCCATCGTGCGATTCTTCCGGTTGGGCTCTCAATGCTATTCAACCACTTCAGTGCCATGTGAGCCGTGATCACTTTGAAGTGGTAGCCCTCCAAGTATGGCCTTAACTTGCGTATGGCCCACACAATTGCCAGGCATTCCTTCTCAGTCGCTGAGAAATTTCTTTCCGATCCATTCAGGGACCTAATGAAATACGAGATCACCCTCTCGCCTTGGTCGGAATTCTGTGTGAGAATAGCACCGAGCCCATAATCGCTGGCGTCGGTCTGCAGCACAAACGTCTTTGTAAAATCTGGGCATGCTAAGATTGGGCCTGCGATTAGCCTGGCCTTGACAGCTTCAAAAGCCTGTTGATGGTCCTCTGCCCACTCCCATTTTGTGGTTTTTCGGAGCAGGCTATTCAATGGATGCACCAACGTTGCAAAATATGGCACAAAACGCCTGTACCACGACGCAACTCCCAAGTATTGTCGCAACTCCTTAACGTTGGCCGGGGGTTTTATTAAGGCAATTTGCCGATACCTTTTCTGGGTCTGTTCCGATGCCTTGGTCTGTTATGCGATGCCCCAAGTATTGCAGTTCCTTTCCTTCCGCATTTACTTTCAGGTTGGCAGCCCGCAGTCTCCTAAAGACTTCCTTCAGGATTTCCATATGCTCTTCTAGCGTTCGTCCGATGACAATAATGTCGTCCTGATACGCAAAAGCGTGCAGCATCATTTCTGGTCCAATGACCTGATCCAATGCCCGCTGGAATGTTGCCGACGCGGAGTGTAGGCCAAATGGCATCACCTTCCATTGGAACAGGCCCTTCCCTGGTACAGTAAACGCCGTGTACTGCCTGCTGTCTGCCTCCAAGGGGATCTGCCAGTAACCGTCCTTTAAGTCGAGACTGCTGATGTACTTCGCCTCCGGCAGCTGATCCAGGATGTAATTTATCATCGGCATTGGGTATGCGTCCTTTACGGACCTCGCGTTTATTTGCCGGAAATCAACACACAGCCTCCACTTTCCAGTCTTCTTCCTCACCATGACTATTGGTGAGCTGTAGGGACTCCTAGACGGCTCAATACATCCTTTTTCCAGCAGCTCGTCTACCTTGGCATTTATCTGACCCTGCATTTTTGGATTTTTAGGGTAGTACCGCTGTTTGACTGGTTGGTCGTCCTTCATGGTGATCCTATGTACAGCCACGTTGGATGTTCCCTTTATGCCTTCCAGTTCGTCCAACTCGGCTTTTAGAAATCCCTCCACAACCTTTTCCGCAAATCTTTTGGGTGTTTCAACTATTGCTATTGACAGTTTCTCCTCCAGCCATCCTCCTCGTCTATCCTTTGTTGGTATCGACGCGCTGTGTCCTGCGCTCTCGACTTCGGCCCCGATTCTGGTGAGGAAATTCCATCCCAACACCAGGGCGTCGATCAGTCCAGGTAAAATCAGCAGCTCCATTGAAATTGTTTTCGTGCCCAGTCCAATTTTGGTCTCCAGCTGTTATTTCCCCGCAGCGACCGCCTGTCATCCGTACTTGCCTTCTCGTTGGTCCGAACCTTCCTGCCGCCTGCAGCCTGTCCGCCAGCTCTTCGCTGATGAAGCTCGCCGTGGCGCCGGTATCCACCGTGGCCTTAATAGTACTTTCACCTATGAGCACCGTGGCGGACAGTTCCATTTCTTCCGCCTGCAGGTCGCCCATTAATTTCGAGAGGCAGCACCTTGCGATCCCTGGCCGCCCCTCGGAGGCTGGGGTCGCTGGGCGTTTCCCGACCCGGAACAGCACTGAACCGTCCGAACTCCTATTTTTCCGCATCGCCAGCAGAACGTAAGCCGTTGGTTTCGGCATTCCTTCGCCCAGTGGTCTGGATTGTTTGCTGGTTCGTGGCCGCGCGGCGTATTTCGTTGTGCGTCCGGGTCCTCCTGGCACCGCCTGCACACCGCACCCTGGTCTGTTCTTGGCCTTGGTACTGGGTGGCTCTGGCCTTGCTGCTTACGGGGATTGTTTTCCAGCTCGAATTTCTCCCGCTGCAGGTCGAGCTCCTCAAACTCGTCTGCCAGCGCCATCAAGGTATCCAAATTTCGACATTCTTATGGGCGGACGAACATTCGGAGTGCCGGCGTGCTGTTCTCTTTTATCCTCTCCAGCGTTTCTTTGGTCGACATATTCAGTGGCCGCAATGTATCCTCGGGGAAGAAAGTAATTTTGGAAGCTGTATATAAAGTCTCCCCAGGTCTCCCAGTGCCGATTGTTGGCGATGAACCACTTCAAGGCTCTGCCTTGAAGCAGCTCCGGCATTGCTCGTGGGATCTGGTTTATGTCGAGACCGTAAGTCACGACTGACCACTCTACTTGCTCCAAAAATTCCAGGGGCTTGTCGTTTCCGTCGTAGCGGAAATTCCACTCCCGGACCTGCTTGGCCACCTTCCCGCAGTCCTGCGTGTGCGTCCGCTTTATCGCCTGACACCGCGCAAGGACTCCTTAAGTTTGATTTTACCACGACCTAGCATCGTTGTAGCCTCAGCCTTGTAGACTTGTCGTCGTTCGGCGTCTCGACTTTGCGATCTTGATCCTTGGGCACTTCGGTTTCGATTTGTACTTATTCCGCGTCACGCACTCGCTCTGATTCTCGCACTCGTACTCTCCCGAGCTGCGCCTGCGCCGTCCTTTTATAGGCGCTGTAGATGCCGTTATTTCCCTCGGGTCCAAGGTCCACTGAGGTACCTTTAATTTACGGTGTGTCCTCTTTAGGCGGGTCCGAAGTCCGCCCATTTACCGTATGACCTCGTTGCCCTTGCCGGGCGCGGGTCCAAGGTCCATCGAGGTACCGTTTATTCACGGTGTGTCCTCTTTAGGCGGGTCCGAAGTCCGCCAATTCACCGTATGACCTCGTTGCCCTTCCCATATGAGGGTCCAAGGTCCGAATGTTTCCCGTTTGACCTGGATGCCCTTCATTTCTCCGGCTTTCTCGCCTCCTCCGCTGTTGCTAGGCTATCCCTGCATCGGGATTTGTGGGGAGTTTAAGACTCCTCACAGTAGTTTAGAAGTTTTAGTTTTAAGTTTAATCTTATAAAGAGCAGACCTATCTCTCTCAGTTCGTGTTTACACTATTTTGATCAATAAAGAAATTTATATTTTTTTCTAAGTGTTAAATCCCGAATTTGTTATTGGCGCAGCCGGTAGGCTATAACTTTTTATACGGTTATATCCTTAAAGAACCCAAACATCGTTCGTCACTGTGCAATTTTAAGCCAGCTATCGCAGTGTCGGTTTGTGTCGCTATTATACGAACGGAAACCTCAATTTTTGCAACA